GTGTTTTTCCTCCTTTTTGTTTTCGGATTGTGAAATCGATGAGCCATTTTGATAGGGTGTGATTATTTTCTCAGAAGCTTCTATTTACTTGTGGTGATCACAGGCGTATGTAATTATTTCAGTTTAGGGGGGCAGTCCGACCATCTAGGGACTGCCTCTCTTTCTTATACAATTTTCCGAGTTCTGTGGCTCGTTGCCATTTTGATAAGGCCTTTGGTTCATCTGCTGAACCTCAGATATCAAGCCATACTTACCTCTGGCTCGTCGATGTTGTTGTTGTTGTTGTTGTGGGTTTTTTTATTATTATTATTTCGAAAACCCAAATGGTGTAATAGAACTGAACTTGTTCCTTTAATGTTAGTTTTTACCACAGATTTGTGTTTCCGATCCTTCCGGGAATTTTAGAGTTATGGTGATGACGGGAATTATTATGAGCTTATGGTAGCTCAGCGGATCTTTTCATTGGTCTTAAGCAAATACATGAAGGGCGGTAACCGATTATTTGAATTGCTGCTCTGTCGTGATTCATGTTCCGACCTTGATAAGGTCTTTGGCAAAACGCCTTAACCTCAGTTATCACATCGTACCTCTTAACCTTTCCATTGCGACAGCGACAGAACTGAACAAATTATCTTTCAAACGGAATTAGCGGAGTGAGGATCAAGATGCCTTAATCCTGTTCTAGAATAACAAACTAGGATTAACTTTGATCTTATCTTGGAAATTGAGTTGTTGCTAATGTCGTCAGAGGTTCTTTTTTCTTAATGAATTCTGCCTGCAAATATTTACATATTTTGCGAAGTTTCAAGGTTTCATTGCTCCCGGCCGTAATTCCATTTAGGAGAAAAAAAGAACTCTCATCAGCAGAAACAAGATTCAAATGAATGACGAAGGAAAACAGATACACTTTTAAAACGTTGTGCTGTTATCATTTCTTTACAAAACTAGTTTTACTTTACTTAGTTTTTTGTCTTCTCTGTTCGAATATTTCAATCGTCCGACAGTATAACAATAGTTTTTATTTTATTTAATTTTAACACCTCGTACCAATGAGAAAAAAGCTCGGGTTGAGTTGATTGCGCTTGTATGGTAAAAGTCAGCACCGTTCACATTAGTAAAACAAACAAAACAGGGCATGACTAATAAACTTCAATAAGTTAACAAATGTCAATAGACACGTGTATATAAATCACACTTTCATGAATTGAACTGTTCGGGGCACTGGTAAACCCTATAATGACGAGGAGTTGATAGTACATATGAAAAAAACTAGATGGGTGGTTTGAAAAGGTTACTGAACGCAACGTAGTTAACTAGTATAAAGGTATCACCTGTACTCACCAAAATCTGCACTGCAAAATCTTGACTGTGGGTGGGCTTGTGTGCACCAGCATGCCTCGTTTTTGGTGACTACACATAATAAGACCGTACAAATGAAAAGAAGAACTGCCATCGGAGCCCCCTTTTTTTTTTACTTCAGAACAGAGCACAGTCGTCACCGCCGTATCCTCAACCTGTTTCTAGTGTCTTGACCAAGAGATCTGTCTTGTATACTCAGGAAAGGAATCTTGGTAATCTACTACTGAAGATTTTTTAATTTTCCCAATAAAATTTATTGGATTATTATAATGAATCCGGCCAAAAGATTAATCTTATTAGTTTATCTTTTAAGTGAAGTCTAAAATGAAATATTTTTCTCTAATTATGCCGAGTTCGCCGGTAGACGATGACGTCGTATGTCTGGGACTCAAAAGGAAACAAACAAACAAACAAACTAACACGGAAAGTTTAAAGTTGTTCCCATGAGCACAGTGACTTGGAGTGAACTGTGATTAACTGCGCAGTGATTGTACTTATTTGTTATTAGAGTTCGCAACATGAAAATTGCCTAATTTACTACGATTTAGTGTATTTTAATAGGCAGTTTTCTTTAAAGGAGTGGTTAAGCCGGAGCCATACTTCTTTTCGGGTGTGTGTGTTATGAAATAGCTATACCTTGCATTTTTGTGGACTATTCAAATATTTACAGTCAAAAACCGGCATTTTCTTTTATTTTTAGCTTTTAAATGGTACCGCGCCTTTTACCGCTAAAAATTCACACAGCTAACGTCAAGTTACTTCACTTGACAATCAAATGCTAATTGCAACCCTTCCCTTACGATGTCAGGGCACATGGGGACGTGAACTACCTGTTAAAATGTCATAAGTAAGCTCTATCAGAGACTTGCAACAAGCATTAATCTGCAGCATGCCAGTCGATTTTAATAGCACACAAACTGTGCACCGGTAATGATTGAAATAAATCAAACTTCCTTCTGTCCGCAGATGGAAGTGGTGGTGAAGACCGCAAAGCAATAAATCTTTCCTTTCAGAAGAAGTTAATCCAATTTTAATAATTTGCGTGATGGGTTCTCTCGTCACTTTTCAACTTTGCGCAGGCCTCTCAACGGATTGCATGTCTTCTCTTGTGACAACACCAACATTCGAAGAGCTAATGATCGAAAAAAACTTCTGCCTTTTCAAAAATTATCAATGAAATGTAAATTAACAGAGAGTTTCGGCAACTTCCTCTAGCAAAGGACTAAGTAAACCTTTAAGAGTTGCTGTCGTGCCTACCATAATTTCGATGCAGGTGGGCAAATTCAATAATATCGCGTCGTTAATTGTGACTAAATGAGAACAAATTTTCCTTTGTTACATCAAAACTTAAAACTCCACTGAAAGGTCAAAAGTTGCACCTTCCGGTTGCGCAGTCAGGTGTTCTACAGCTGAGATTTATTCTTTACCGCATTAAGCCATATACAAGGTTCGCAACTGACAAGCGTTGCAAGATTATTAAAGTCGAACGTGTCTTACAGAAATTGAAAAAGAAAATAGATTTTGAACTAAGCTTGAGCTAAGAATTAATCATTTACACCGTGATATATCAGTATGCATATATTCTATTCTATTCTCTTTAAATTTCCAAAGGTTCCGAGAAGAAGAATATTCGTTAAACGATCATGACCTTCTTTAGTTGGTGATCATTTCCTTTATTCTCCTGACCTTAATGTGTGATTCATGGGTGGTATTGTAAGGGGAAACTAGATGCAAATCACTCTAAGTTAAGAGTTTAGTAAGAGAGTGAACAAGCAAAGTTGCCTTAGAAACCCACAGTAAACGAGTAACATAGTTGTTAAAGGAAAATGCCAAGGGGGTAGCAGCGTGTGAATGTGCTGTTTTGCGAAACTTCTGCATTTTTTTTTTCTTTCTTTCTTTTTTTTTTTTTTTTTTTTTTTTTTTTTTTTTTTTTTTTTTTTTTTTTTTTTTTTTTTTTTTTTGCACTCTTGCAGTCCTTAACTGATTATTTGCTGCTTTCTATTTTTAGCTAAGCTTGAGAATGTAATAAACTTTACCATGACTGCTGCTTCATTTCGCCCCGGGTGGGCATATTTTAAAAATATAACGTTGGTCAGTAGTTTTAAAAGACTTTGAGACAATTTGTCTCTGTTAAAACAAAATATTGGACCATCGCCGTGATTTATTTTGTCTGGGTCAGAAGTGCGCGTTAAAGGAGGATTAGCATTTGGCTGTTGAAGTGCATACAGACTATTCAACTCTGTTAATTACTTCAGTTCTATCTGCTTAGTCAAGAGGCAAGGCTCAGGTTATATATACAGGGTTCGTACAAAGTCTTGACTTCTTGAAAAAGTCTGGAAATTAGCGAACTACTTTTCCAGACCTGGAAAAAGGATGGAAATTAAAGGCGAAGTCTTGAAAAATGGGATTAAGTCTAGAACTTTTCTCAAGGAGCAGCAGGTGTCTAAAAGCTAGCTGAAATCTTTGCAATGTAGCTTCTCCTTCTATCACATGGACAAGCGTCAGTTGAACGAGGATTTTTAATCAACAAGGAAATCTCTGTTGAAAACATGACTGCACAAACGTTAATTTCCCAGAGAGTGATTAAAGACCATCTCCTGAATGTTGGAGGGGTTACCAAAGTCTCGAGTTCCTTAACTAAAGAGCTCCTTGTCAGTGCAAGTCATGCAATACAGAGGTACCAAGCTCACCTAGTTGAAGAGAAAAGAAAGAAAGAGGAGCAGAGAGAAGATAGAAAAGGAAAGCTAACATTGAGGCACTGTTGAAGTCTGCTGACCAATTTGCAGAAGAGGCAGAGTTGACTGGGAAAGTAACTCTCATTTCTAAATCAAATGCAATGAGACGAAGCGCTAAAGAGAAAGAAGGAGAGTTGAAGTCCATCGAGGAGGCAATAGACAAGAAACTTGAAGCTCTAAAAAAGTAGTTCTTGTATCATGAAATAGTTATTTCACCCACTAATGGCAAAAACCCAAGGACTTTGTTGAAAAATTGTACTGTCAAAAATTGTTTTGATAACTGAGGTACTTGCTTTATGGTAGAAATTTAGTATACTGCTATTGTTTGGTTGTGTCACTGTAAGTTAAGAACTCAACAGCTGAAACTTAATTTTTTTTAATTCATTCTTTTCATAGTTAAGACAGTTATTTCTTCTCGGGCCATGAAGAATCTCTCTGTTGCCTTGAGTCTGGAAAATAAAAAAAATGGTTTGGAAAAAGTCTGGAAAAAGTCTTGAATTCTGTCCACAAAAAAGTGTACGAACCCTGTATATAGCTTCAGGCTTAGAAGCACCGAAAAAGTGAGGAATGTGGATAGGCAGGAAATTACTGTTGTCAACTACATCTACGAATCGTCGTTTTAGTCAATTTTTGCCATAGAAAAATACTGTAACGCATAACTTCCCGCATTGCCTGAAGTTATCACAAATGGTACAGGATATAGGAAACAATGATAATTCCTACTTTCCGGCTAGCACTTTGTTTCATATTTTTGTTTCTTTTCCAGCTCCTAGAAACATAACCGTTGTTGCTGGAAGCATTTTCTCATTAACTGACGAATCATTGTATTTGTTTTGCTTTACTACGTACAGTGATTGATCCATAACACTGGCGCCACACTCTCGGCCATTTAGATGAAAAACCTTGTAACTCGCGCGTTCTCGCGCTTCAGGCAATGTGCTTGTTTTTTATTCTAGCTCTCAATGTCCTGGGAACGAGCTAATCGGAATTATGTGTCAGTCGAATTATATTATCCTCCGTGTCAGAGTATTAATAGAACAATTTTTATTAAACGTAGTATCGAAAGTATCCTGGAGATGTATTGATTTCGCTTCGGGACGGTCTTTCATTGGTCTTGACAATTAGCGCCACTCTCTCGATCAATCAGATGCAAAAATTAAACCAACCGCGACTTCGTCCCTTTTGTTTTCCCGCGCTTATGCAGTTTGCTTGTTCTCATTGGCTTTGTTTTCCCGCGCTTATGCCGTTTGCTTGTTCTCATTGGCTATATGTGATATTTCCTTTGTTCTAATTGGCTGTTATGACTACTGTGGTTTCGGCTTAACAACAATCGATCCAAATCCGCTTAGCACTGTTTAAACATCGTTAATGACAGTGTATTTCGGACAGTCGATACAGAATTAAACGGCTGCAATAATTTATAATCCACACGTTTCACAGCTTGACTTAAACTTTTTAATTTTATTCTAACTTATTCAAAATGTAACTCAGACGTTAGGCTACAATGTTTTGGAAGACTCAAGACTTATTCAATTAGTTGAATCAGACTGAACCTTTTAACATGAATTTCCGATGTAGAATTCACATGTCAAACTAACTTCTTCATCGCACATATAAGATGGCGACTGTCATCAAGTATTGATGAAACGTACGTTAAAATACTACGTTCGTTAATTCTTGTCGGATATCTTTCTGAATCGTTCCTTAGTAAGAGAAAATTCGCTACTTTGTAAAGAAAAATGTAAGCCAAATATGTTTGTCAATTTTGTCTGTCACTATTGTCGCTAAAACTGCTTGTAAACAAATATTCATTGTTTTTTAATTATTTCACTGAAAAACATATTTTCTTTCATTCCTTAGAGTGATCAGTGCTTAAATTTCTTTCTTTAATGTTATGTATATTTTGTTCTGACAAATAATAAAATATTAACACCTTATTCTTAGGAATAACCAACGGAAAAAAGTATTGGCTGTTTGGAAATACAGCCAAAGGATCAAAATATCTTATCACTAAGGTAGTAATTCTCGCGTAAGACTCAAAATTATTAACCCTTCAACGCCCAGAGGTGATTTACATGTTTTTTTTTTTTTCTCCTCGTACTATCCGTACATTATCCAGCAAACAGGTGATGAGAATACTAAAACTTATCAAGCAGAATTTGTTAGCAAGATCTAACACCAAAATCTCGTTCTAATTTAAAAGGAAATGTGAAGCAGCTAGAGGGGTGAATTAAGTATTAAATCTAGGGAGTTGTGGGTTAAGACAAATTTCAATTCTGTTACACATGCTCTCTGTTAAAAGAAAATTAATTAGCCTGTAGTCGTTACCGTTTTCGCACAAAAGCGTTTGAGAAAAATTGTGATTTATAGTCTAGTTAGGGCTCATGGCTAGCCATGCATTCTTTGTACTTTGGTGTTTCGTACCAGGAGCAGGCGGTTCCTTTGGAATTTTTCACGCAATAGGAGTGGTCCCACTCACAGGGGTTCCTACGAGGAGACAGAGAGGTTGAAGCACATCCTTTCAGCTTTCCACAGTCTATGCCATAACACGGTGCAAGCTGACAGTCGCAGTTTTGGCCAAAGAAGCGCCTGATACCAACACGTAGAGCATGGCGGTTGAGGACCTGGGACCACTCTTGTACAAAATCGCAAAAGCTCACCCAAAGTTTCCCTTTGCGGAACCTTCCGAAGATGACGTATCTTTTGTTGTTCTGAATCAAGTCAAGACCACAGCCGGCACCATCTGTGGCAGTGTAAACCTTGGCAAAAGGACTTCCCTGGTTAGACCCGTGGAACCCAACTCCGTAGGTCTTGTTCAGTACAGTCGCTCCCTTGAACGTCTTAAGGATTCGCAAACCGATGACTTTTTCGAATCCCACCACCTCTTGAGACAAAACCTTCGCGCGTATCACTGGAAACGAAACAAGAATTAGGTCCATCGTATCTCCCTTTAATCTTATGAATACGATTACCGCCAGGTAAAATAGAAATCGTCATGTCGAGGGTTATGAGTATTTTACAGTTTCAATTAATTGTCCATAAGCACAATTCTAACCACGAAAAACCAATTCATCCGCGAGTCTTTCGATCTGACTGGGCAAACTGGTGATTAGAAGTCGGAAACTCGGTGGGAAAATAACACCACGAAACTCTTTCAATGAAAATGTGCACCTGTCAAAAAAGAGAATCGCCTACGAGATCTTGGCATGTAAATTTTAGTAGGCGTATCGGTATACATTTGGTATTAACAATAGATGATTAATGCCTTTAATTAAGAGCTTGACTCTGAATAGCTGGTGAGGACTCCCAAGAACCGGGATTGATACTGTGGTTCGGAGGAACGTGTCTTGTCACAAATGGAAATGGAAGATTTCTTTTAGTCATTGTTTTGCTAAATATTTAAAATTTGAAACTATGTGGACCAGTATTTTCTCGTTATTTGACCTTGAACATGAGAAATTTAGGTCTCGCGAAAAATGCTACCTCCACCTTCGCAATGAGCAACCAAAAGGGTGATCACAAAAAACAGACTCTAATACTATTTCCGTTCTCACTTGGGGCAATCAAAGCTAAACTTAAAGAAACTTCATATTAGAGGAAGCGTCATGAAAAGCGAAAGAATAAACGCAATCTTGTCCCGAGAACAAACTAAAGCTTATATTATTCAAATCAGTTGTGCGAATAATATCGGCGTTTAAATCAAAGCGTAAAGTGGTGACAGCGTCAAACAGAGCAAACGAGGAATTAGACCTATTTCTAAGGTACGAACATTGCACACACGCTTTTGCAGCCCTATCTGACCACATTATCGGGTTCCTTTGTAAAAACATTGAAGTTCCTTTTGCACAGCACGCGAGATACGTGCCCGGTGAAGATAATAGCTGATAAAATGGAGATCAGAACTTTCCGCAAAGCCAGCTAAAAAAACTCCAATATCCGGTTCATATTTCAATAGCAAATCGAATCATTATCTTTTTCCTTTTTTGGTTTTCTTTTTTCCTGCGGAATAATTCAATTCGTTCAAAAGATTCTTCCTCTCGATCTCCGTGAGGATCAAGTTCAGCGATATTCGCAGACTGCTCAGTGTCAGTGAGAGTAGTGTGATCTGAGCCTCACGATACCACAATTTTAATGCAAGTACGTATTCGTGATATCAACTGGAAGATTATGTGCTCTGTTCCTAAGTGGATAAATATTTGGAACTATCTACAAAGCGACCGCAGATCATAACACAAAAAGCAAACAGAAGGGACATTAGAGGTTGTTTGTGCAAATAAATGGGTTGTTTGTTTTATCTTGAGATAAAAGCGCTGATCTTCGACAGGAAGTGTCGATGATACATAGAAGAAATTTTAAAACAGCAATTTCCTCTTTTAAGTATCGAATGCTTCGCGCGTTTGAAGTGATGATGGCTGCTATTGAATAAGCTTTTTGGGTGGCTTTTGACTGAAATTACTGAGTTCGACTGCTTACACAATTCTTAGAACTACTGTGATTCAGTCCGCGCTTAATCTATCAGAAACAGGCCTGGAGAAAGTCTACTGTGGTATTAAAGTTAGACTTGAATCATGAAGCTGTGGAGCTTCTTGATTCTTCACTTCAGACCTTTTGAACTTTCTGACGAATCTTAACGTTTTTTTCAAGCATTTATAACGGTAAAGAATGCAAAAGAAATAAGCTGTTTTGGGCCAACTCAAGTCGAATAGTTGACCCGCTAAATGAACTTGGCGGATGATGAAATTCTGCCTGAAACTCAGCCCAAATAGATTATGCTCTGCAATGACTCACTCAACAGTTTTTTAAAACCAGGAAATCAATGTTGAGTTTAAGAAGTACCTCTATTGTTTGTGTGGTCTTTCACGGCGCGCGAGCAAACAAAAGCTAGCGAGGGCGCCGTGAGTTACATTGTATCGTGGAATTTCAAACACCCAAATCTTATGGTCCGGTGAAAAATTTAGAACTCACCAAATCTTGCATTACAGAAGGCTTCCTGGGGATGCTGCGGCGTACAACTGCAGGCCTGGCTTGAAGCCGCGAAACCCAGGAACAAAGCAGCATAAATGACGAAGGACATTCTCTTCTTGTGTCGTTGTGGTATGCTTCAACTCTTCACTTTTCCTAGCGTGTTGGGGATGAGAAAGAGTGATTGCTGTATCAGATAGCTGGCTCAGTTGCTGCTTATATACTGACATCAGCGCGTGTGAAATGTGATATCCCGTAGAGCCATGTGCAGCTGACGAAAGCCCCGCCTCATGCGTCACTACTGAAACGCGTGAGCAAGCAGAATTATGTGTTACGAAATTGCAGCACTTCCTCTGAAAGTGTGAAATAAACGTCCTATTTTCCCACTTCCTTAAGCATATTGACGCTTTCCTGTCATGTCACCCGGCATGCATGTTTTGTGTTACGACGCTAGGGACCAGTCATTAGTTTTTGCATTAGGAGGGTTTTATTTGGGGGGGGGGGGGTCACACGTTTTTCGGGAGGAACAGAGGGAGGAATCAGTCGTCTCCAAAGTACGAAGAGGGACCTATAGAAAATTGACTGCCAGAAAGTGGGGTATCATTAGAATACAGAGCTTTGGTTGGGGTGTCAGGGGATTTTATTGTGACCAAGATCCTCCGAGATCCTCCAGTTCTTTTGGCCTTAACGGATACCTACACCATAAAACCTATGAAGCTTCATAAACAAGGTCTATTTCTATATCAGAAGTGTCGAATGAGGAAAGAATGTTGTCAGTTTGCGGTCTAACAATATTTTTGTCTCAAATCTTCTTTGAATTATTCAGTCTGAATGAGCTACACATGCATTGACGGCACAGTTCCCCACCCTCTCTACTCTTACAAAGCGCTTCCCTCCCCTCTCCTCCTCTCTTGCGGGCCCCTAGGGAGGTCATACTTACCGTCATTTTGGTGCGTGCCAATTACCTCCTTTACTTGTCAAGACGGGGGTCGCATGTAGCCTGGGAATAGACCACAAGGTAGAGGTTGTGCTTTGCGCAGGGTAAGGTTAATTCACATATTTCCGTCTTAATTAACAAATGGTAAATACCACAGCGTACACTTGAGTTATGGATGCACGCGGGAGGTTGCTAAGCACGAAAGAAGCGTAAGACTCTAGCTTCTTGAGTGCTTAGCGAACCTCCCAAGTGCATCCATAACTCAATAGTGTACGCTGTTGTGTTTACCATTTGTTTTATAACATAACATCGATATATTGTAGCTAAAGAGTTCCCTTTTATTTAACAAATCTTACGCGACCAGAAAAAACAAGCGCGCGCGGAAAAATAGTCTTCGCATTTGCTCACGTCAGCAGCGTACACCCATGGGCAAATGGGGGACGCTAAATTGACCAATCAGAGCGCGCACTTTAGTTTGGTTATGTTATAAGAGCGGTTGGGAGATTCATTTACGCACTTCATGTTCTTCATCTACCGCGATCTGCAATAGTTTGCTTCATTGCTTTACTGGCGGAACAGCGAAGAGGAACTCGTAAACTATGGAAGCTGCGACGATAGGTTTTCGCACCCAAACTGGGAAACTGGACCTTCGCGGACGGCACAACATAACTTGGGGAAAATAACTCGGTAGAGACCACTTGGCAGCGAGAACGGAAACTCGTCACGATTTCCTGGCACACGGAGATCTACTTCGAGCGAGCTTGTACGGACATCAAGGATGAGATAGTATTTGGTTCCCCAGTGAACTTTATTCTAAGTCAGGCCAACAAGTGACATGACCTCTAGCCTACACAAGCTTGTAATCAAGGATGTAATCAACAAAACTGTACCAGGTAGCTGCTTAGAAGCTAACTGGTGTGAAGAGCTATTGTTATCCAAATCAGCCATATTTAAACATCAAAACAAAAGAGGCGCTCTTTGAAGTTAAACGAAAACTACTTAAATATTCCCATCTTTCTACGACGAAAAGAATTTCAAATTAAAAGGACGGATGCAATCAACGCAAGGTCATTAAAAGTAGGAACTTAGGTGAGAATTCACAGCTCTGGTATAGAAAGAGAATACCTATCTTAATTGCGATAGCGCCGCTTAAGAAATGAGAGTGGAAAAGTAATCAAAAGTTTTTGCTCATCTATGCAAGGTTGGTGTGGAAACTATCGTATGAAAGGAAATTAAAATTACGAGTTTAACTCAGCTGCCAACTACCATGAGAACCAATTTTTTTTCCAGAAAGACCATTAACACTTACATTTACCTAAATTTTCACTAGAATTGAAGAACAAAAGTACCGAGATGTAGCTGTACAACTCAACTGGGCTATTCAAATTTTATATATATATATATTCCCTTATTTTATTCCCAAATTTTACTTGTAGCTTTTTTTTATCACTTTAAAACATCGCAATGAAAGAAACTCGCAAGAATTGAGAACGCTAAAATTCTGAAAACAACGAATAAATATGCTTAAACATCCACAGGGTAAAATCACTAAATTTTCCCCTAACATAGCAAAGGAACACACTAAGGGTCAGGAGGAAAGCGGAATACACCAAAGGCAATGATGGGGAAATTTGGTTATAGAGGGGCAGTGAGCATACAGGGTTGGTTGAATCAGAGCTACAGAAGAATATTTGGAAAAGAAATAAAGAATAATAAGAAGTCGTGTGAGAAAGAGGAACAGTTGGAACAGAGTTACACAGAATTGAAAGGAAAGAGGAACATTGCGTTTTAGATCGGAGGAATACGCGGAGTAAAAGTATTACATTTCAGTGAGAATAGTAGAACAGTGGAACAGTGAAACAGAGGACCACTGGAAACAGAGGAACATGGAAACAGAGGAACATGGAAACAGAGGAACATGGAAACAGAGGAACATGGAAACAGAGGAACATGGAAACAGAGGGGTAGACGAAGAGACGAATAAAGGAACACGATAAGTTATGAAAAGAGCTTGGACTAACGGAACAGAGGAAGGGACAACAGGAAACGAGTGTCAGTTCCTCACTTGATTGTGGTTTTCGCTTTGGGAATTTTCCCATGAGGACTTTTTTAATACTTCCTTTTAAAATGTGTGGTTTAAACTTGGCACTGAGTTAGAGAAAAATGTCATGATAGGCTAATGAAAGAATCTATCAGCATTTTTTTGTCATTATTTTTCTCTTAAAATCTAAAACTAACGTAGTGAATTGGCCACTATTGAAGTGTTTTTACCCTTGTCTCTCTCTTCCTCGCTTTCGTCGTCGTTTTTTGCATAAAGCATGTTCACAGTTCAACTTCTATGGTTTCGCTTTGGTGATGCAGCTCTTGTAGTCAGTAGTTTTACGCCAAGAGCATGCGGTTTTTTCAGCATTTTGAAGGCAGTAGGAATGACCCCATTCGCAGCTGTCGTGATCGATTCCAGAAGGCTTACCACATCCCCTCAACTTCGGCTTCTTGTTACAAAACACGGTGTAGCAGGGCGAGATTTGACACGCGCAGTTTTCACGGTAAAACCGCATCACCCCAAGACGCTGTCGCACAGTGATTTGGGACCATTCCTGATTCCAGTGGCACTGATTAAGCTCCAACTTTCCTTTCTTTATTTGGCCCGAGATGAGATACACTTTGTTGTTGTTCAGTTTAACCCCGCACAGGCTATCAAGAGTAAAGGTGTACGCTTTGGCAAACAGGCTTCGCTGTCTGGAGCCGTAAACATTGACGCTTTCCACCTCGTGGAGTCGGTATCCTCCTTTGTATGTCTTCAGGATGCGGAGGTCGAAGATATGAGTAAAATTTTCTTGGTATTCCTCTTGAGAAAGCACCTTTGCTCGGATTACTAGACACGGGAAGGGAAAATAAAGATGGTAACCTTCACAATGTTTTCTAGTACACCGTTATTAGTAAACTATGGTACAGCGTAGCGCCATCTTTCTGTAAATTAACCACACACAATTCCTCTCTTCGCCCTGACGAATCAGCTCAGTTGATGGAACCAAATCATCTTGCACCCTCCCCGCCACCGATACAACACCTCAACTTCTTTAGAAACTCACTCTAACCATTCACACTGTAGCATACTTTGCAGTCACTCTAGAGAATGTCACGCAAGGTTTCCAACATAAGAAGCGTTACATCCCAAGGAAGTGTTGTGTGACATCGCCAGTGATGGCTGAGAAGGACACTTCAATTCATTGCGTTCTAGGTTTATCCATAAGATGTATTTAATTACATGTTGAGCACCTTTGTAAATTAATTGGAACAAAAGAAACTGTTTACTCATGAAAAGAGTTCAAATCCCATAGTCACCGACTTGGTCGCCGTGACGACCGGAAGGGCAAGCGGGCAAAAGTCAAACGGCACGTGCGGTTGTTCTAGAAACGCCTGCTGTGCCTGACTCGCCATTTTCATGGCGCGCTCGCTTCTCCGACCGAGGGACTAAGGAGCCGACCATTTAACTCTTGAAGGGGGGGGGAGGTGATTTTAAAAAAAAATTTCCTGCAAGCGCTTGTTGGAAGAAGAAAATTGCATGCAGCCCAAATGTAACTGAAAAAAAAGAGCATTTAGAACGGAAAAAAATATCCTGCCCAGCAGATTGCTAGAAAAAAAATTTCTTGATGACCAGAAATCCCCCACCCCCCCTCAAAAGTTAAATGATCGGCCCCTAACATTGTTTTTTAATCGAAAGAAAATAACCACAACTGCCAATCAAAATGAAAATGTCACGAAGATCCAATGAGAACTCAAAGTAAAACAAGCAAACTGCCTGAAGCGCGTGAAAAGCGCAGGCGGCCAAGTCGCGTTGTTGTAGTTTTGCATTTGTTGTTTGACAGGGTGACAGCTTCCTTTTCGAAAGACAGAACGAATTCAAACAAAACTGACGTTTTTCGAAACACTTTTTACATCCCACTTTGAAAAACTTTGTTCTAATGCTCATGAATTACTTTTGTAGTCTGGGTGAAATTCCTGTTCATTTCAAAATCTACTTTCAGGAATTTCTAAGAGCTTATTAATTTGGAGGAAATTAACATAATTGCTAAGGATAACATATGACCTAACCCCCTTGATTAAAGGCTCTTTCCGGCCAAAAATTGAATTGGAGTCCCATCGTGATAATAAGCGATGCTTAACTTATTTGGAAAAAGCCATGGTAATATTTCCTCAGGAAAGTGTGCACAGGAAAGGATTTCATTTTGTTCCAAAACTGTTACATGAAAAAGAATGGTTCTTCTGCCCAATGACGTCATTTGGATTTAAGTTAACCTAATCCTTATCACTTTCCTGTTGTTCAATTGTGCTTTTTCTTTTGATTTCAGTGTTTTGGGAATACCTTCCATTTAAATTCATTAGTTTGTAACTTAAAGGCGAGCCTTGGGGCGAAATTGGGTATTTCTACACGTGCGAAAACATGCAGATGGCTTAAAAAAAAAAAAAAAAAGAGGAAATTAAATATTGGTCGCAGGCTTGCGGTTGACGAAAATTGTCAGTCCTGTTGATGCAATATCGTTGAGTTAACTTAAAGAGCATCTTTAATAAGCTCAAGAGAAGTCTTGGAATAAGTTCAAATGCCTACTATAAGTTTCATAGCTGTCGGATGTGTTCAATTTGTCTAGATTTATTGATTGACATCCATTTGCTCTAACACATCCCAGATTATTATTTTCATAGCGTGAACCGGCTGAAAAATATCTTTTAGGGGGTTCATTATTTCTTTTAAAAACCGAAGTTACCGGATTTTTTCAAGTGTGTATGCAGATGCAAGAACCACAAAATAGTCGCGTGGACGTGCAACAAAATAGAATGCATGCGAAATAAGTCCTTGAAAATGCCGAGCTTTTTCACTTTAATTCAGACATAACGCTGAGCTTTGTCGAGGTTTTTTTTCATATAGTACTTCGCGGTAACTAAAGTAATTTGTGTGTTAGGGCACTTGGTCTTAAAGAATCACTTAGGTTGTAGGACTCCCCTTGGCTTTTATTGTGTTAAGGTTACGGTGCATGAAAGGACCATTGCGTACACTACTTTCCTACTGAGTTCGTGTTGAAATTGTTTTACCAGGGATACTTGTGTCGAACTGTTTCTCATAAAAAAACCGAAAAACATTTTTTAAGTCAATAAAGGTTACCCAAAGATTCTGAAGATTTCCAATAATAGTTGTTTTTCTTATTGTTGTTGCCATGAATTTGATGAATCAATCATTCAAAGAAGTTGCTCCGAAAATAGGTTGACTTAACTGCCTCGACTCCTGTAAGAAAGGGAGGCTCAGGAACGGCTTGAAACAAGTCTCTGCAGCTCTTCGCAGTTATAAAAAAAACTCGACTATAGACTTTTCGAGATAAATAAGAAGATGCATGGGACACTGACGCTTCTCAGAAAAATTTCCGTCCATCGGCGAAAAACTAAAGAGTGTAAAAAAGGTAACTGGACAGAAACCGTCACCGAGATAATACAGACAGTAGAGAAATAGTAAACCTTAGAAGAAGAAGAGCAAATAAATAAAATCGAATATAAACCAAGGAAGAGGCCACGATGGATATCAAAGAACAAAGATTTAGGGCCCAGAAACCCATAGAAAAATCTTAAGTCCTTTTATTCTCTCCTAATTAAAGGGAACTATCATTACTCCGTAAAGAATCCGAGTTCTCGAAACATTTATGATTAAAAGTTAACTTACCAAACTGTGCACCACAAAAAGCCTCTTGAGGATGTCTTTCGGGGCAAGAACATTGGGACGCGTCAATGGTGATCACTGCGCCAAGTAGCAAAGTGATATATAGGAGATGAGACATGCTGTCTCTTTCTAATTTCTCAATCGTGGAACGTAAGCTCCTGCTGATCCTTCGAGGCTCCAAAGACTAATTGCTGCGTCTGAAAGCTGTCTTGCTACTTATATAGCAAGTTCAACCAGCGTGAAGCCAGAATTTTTTTGGCTGTAATTGGAGCATGTTGTACTTGGCGCCACGCCGCAAAGCCGTGTGCCGTGTCGATGACTGCTAGAAAAAAAAAACGCCCATAAGTCTATTTATTTCAATTTCAACGTAGGAAAGAATGAAATGAGTGTGAATTTTTGTCAACGCCACACAAGGAGAAAATATTCTCAGTACAGACTGTGTAGTCAATTGTACTGACTTCAATGCTCCTTTGCTAACTTCAGCCTCACTCAAATGTCAACAAACTCTTGACCAGATCTCGGTAAGGTAGCAATAAAAATAGCAATTCCACTACTATTTCAAAATCGATGGTTTTAAGAAGATTTTCCGGCTTTTCGACCGTTGATATATATTCTTTTACAAATTTGATCCTTAAATTAAGGGATTTTTAGCTTAAAATTAGAAAATCTGCCATCTTGCCCGAGAAATCCGATAACGAGGCCCAATTACCAGTAGATGATTTTCTCTCGATACTACCAGAGAACGGTTTCAAATTTCTCTTTTTGATAACGGAAAAAATTGATGATCGATTAAAACAAAAATTTTAATTAGTTTTACCGGAACATTGACCGTGTGTATCGTAATCTAATAAAAACTCTATAAAACTCTGTATTCCAAATAAGATCGCAGTGTTAATCAATGAGCTATAAAAAGTCTAGACGGATATAACCCTAAAATAATAGTGTACTGGCTCCAGACTACAGCAAAAACAAAACCAGGCGCATAACTGTTCAAAGCTGTGGTAGGTTTTTAGAAAACTTGATAATAATGTTGATGGAAATGTTGGAAAATTCTCGGGGCGGCCTTTGAGTAATATGAGCTAATCGCAAATGAATTAAGGTCAGAATTTTTTCGGCCTTTATGGAGACTTCTAGAAGAACCTACCATGTTACCACAAAAAAAAGAAAATTCAATTCCTCTCCTCCCTTTTTAATGAAATAATGAAACACTTCAAGTTTTTACGTAAAAAAATGTTGATTACCATAGTCGTCAGGAATGTTTTTTTCCCTGTTTTAAACAAGAAAGTGACTCGTCTGTTCACTATTAATATCAGCATTTACTTTCATTAGTTCCTCACAGCTAATATCAGCAAAGCTGGAAACGATTAACATTCTTTGTACGTAGAAAAAAAAAATCATATTGATTCAACCTGGCCATGTGTTAAATATTTTTTATACTTGTTCCTCGAGAAATATTCGATGGTTCCTCAGTGACGTACTTCTTAATTGGTCTTTTTTTAATTTTCATTTGTTTACTGCATACGCCCATCTTTCAAGGCAAAATGTTGTTTCTGCAGTTCCTATACTCAGCGGTTTCTTGCCATGAGCATGCGGTTGCCTCCCTGTTTTTTAAACAGTAAGAGTAACGCCATTCGCAGCCTTGGTAGAATTTTCGCATCGTGTGATAATCGTGAGAGACCTGACATCCTTGTAGGGGCTGAACGCAAGCAAGTTCTCCAAAACAAGCCAGTGTGATGTGGCACTCGCAGTTTTGACCGTAAAATCTCTCAATTCCTTCACGCTGTTTACTGGTAACTTCTTTCCACGGTTGAACCCAGCTATGCTGACTCAGCATAATTTCCCCTTTCTTGATGCTTCCAGCGAGGAAATACTCAGTGCTGCTTCGAAGCTGGACGTGAGCACTATAAGCTTTTACAAACGAACCATTCTCTACAGTAATGTTGATGCTGACTTCTTTGAATTTCTCCTCTCCTTTGTAGATTTCATGGATTTGAAGATCGTGTTCAAATATACCTTGTCTGTGGTTCTCTTCTCTTGACTGATTATTTGGCAAGACCTCAGCTCGAGCCGCTATAAAACAAAGAATGCATTTCAGTTTCTATTGACATTTCCTATCGCTCATAGAAATTATGCGTTGTACTTGATGTGATCCCTCTGATCGCGCCCGATGGGAGGTTCCTTGGGTACTACCCGAGAGAACCTTCCTGGGTTGCACGTGGCCAAATCCTAAATCCCCTTGCCACCATCTGACATTTCTGACAAATATGTCACATTTGGCTCACTTCTGTAGTTAAAGGAATACTGACTCTGCAAGGCCCGGCGAATCCTTCAAAGGAACCGGGATCTTTTTAGTGAAGAAATTTTTAGAAATCTAAAGCAGATATCTTAACCACTTACACCATATTCTCCATATTGTTCGCTATACTTTTCCTAAGTTGCTGACGAGGAGAATTTGTTTTAACAATCAAGAGCTTCTTAAGTTGGTAATCATTTCTTTTACTGATTCTTGTGACCTTAAGTTGACTCAGATTCAGGGGGAAATATTGTAAGGAGACATAAGATGCTAGTCACTCAAAGATTAAAAGAAAAGTGCTGATCGTACAGTTGTGTGAAGATATGCTGATTAATATCTGCTTACTCCGCATTCGCGCTCAACGTCTGACTCATAGTTCTTGTTCTGCGTTTTGTTTTGACGTCATTTTGGGCAAGCCTTCTTTTGAAGTAAGAGGTTCCTGTCCCCAGCTTGCACACGTCACGAAAAAACACAGAAATTGATGTCGTAAAAATTTGTGTACGCCTTTTCAAAACAACGTATTCGTTGTAAATCTGCTTTAGATTATCGATCCATTACTGTATATTACAGTCATTCCCTTTTGAAGAACCCTTTGCTTAGGCAAACTTGAATTAATCAAGAAAGGACTTTTCAAGATCATCATTTGTAATCTTTGTCATCCTTAACTAGTTTAGTCCTATATGTTTGGTACTTTTATTTCCTAAAACAGTGTTATCATATTAAAATTTCCTCGTTGTAAAAAAATCAGGCCTTGAAACATCTGAACGTTACGCCGTTTAGACGGACAACCTTTTTTAACGGCGCTGTTTCACCATCAAATCATTTACAGATACTTGTTTATTTTCACAATTCTTTTTCTCTCTCTGTGTGTAAATGTTACTCGAGAAGGTGCGGCTTGGAATCCTTCTGTGCGGGTAGATCGCAATACTATTACCTTTCGGGACTATTAAGCACGGTGTCGAACAGATTCGCTTGGAAACTCCGAAAGGTATTTGATGAGTTTCTTGGCCGCCGAGACGAAACGCTGCGTCATAATAGCCACGAACTATTTTTTACTCGTTTTCTAACAAGTTTTTTCTTTAAGAATATTTTAACCTACCAAAATCAGCTGAGCAAAACTGTTCTTGTGGATGTCTCATGAAGACTGCAGTGTCTTCTCTTTCGATGGGGCTTGCTGTACAAAGTAAAGCAGCACATGACAATAGAATGACGCGATAAGTAGTTGAGTGCATAGTGATCTGGTGTAGAAAAAGTGGACCTCACAACTGCTTCGAAGAACTGAAAGGTACTGCTTCAAATAGTTGTAGGAACACCGTAAAATCACGTCTGCATGTGACGTAATGCGATCGAATGACTAAAACTGTCAAACTGGATGATTAATGTCGCTCATGTTCTAAAGAAATCGGTGAAGTTACGCGCACAATTTCCGTTAAGACCTTAAGCGACTGAAAAAACTTGCTTTGTTTTTACGTATTTCCTGTCCCAGCAGGTGTTAGCACGCGGTCAGGCGGCCGCCATGCAAACATGTCTACAGTGATGGCTCTGCACGTACGTTGTTACACAACCTTGAGTGATACAATATAATGCTTTCTTTATGTGATCTCAAAGTTTTCAAGAAACAGAAAAAACGTAGCCTAACTTGAGTTTATCACTGAGATTTGCCATCTCCAACCCTCGTCAATTGATTTTACTTGACTCTTTTAAAGTTGTTTGTTGACACTGCATGTCTATCATGTTAACTACTATGGTTTCAAAGTTTTCCCATATTTTAAGAGCACTTTTTATCTTTTGTTTATTAGACAGATCTTAACGTAGATCCTTGAATTATCACTCAAGGGCCCGTTTCTCGAAGGTCGCGTAACTTAACTTAACGAGTTGAAAATTATACAATAAAACTGTATCAGTTAAAGAAACCAAATCGACCAGTTACAGTGTAGGAACCTGCCTCTCTAATTTGTTTTAAAATATGGCTTCGGGCCCGTTGAGTTATCGGGACTTTGGAAGAACGGGTCCCAGAGCGCTGATTTCGAATTTAGGTTCAGACGGGGGGAGGTGAGGGGTGGGGACAGGTAGTGTTATTGGAGGGGACTTTTAATGGAGAGGGCCAATGATTTAAAAACTGAGTATATTCATGATTTGTGATATCAGCTGCGCGTAAACAACGAAATTAAACTGGTGATGAACATCAGTAATCTCTAGAAACTGTTTGTCCTTTAAAAGAGAAACGTAGTCGTTTATCTCACGATGTGGTCTCTTGATGTGGATCGCGACGTTTTGACCGCTTACTGCTAGTCTTCTTCAAGCAATAAGGTCGACTGAGTACTTATCACCTAGCTACATGCTGTGCTCAGCTGTGATTGAATGGAATTCCACGGCTGCGGTTGATTTATCTTTTTGGTTGCAATTGACATCCTCATCTCAGTTGATAAAACCAAATTATCTGGTTGTTACATACTTATTTGATCCATAATTTTTTTTACAGTGGCATACTTGGGACTCGTACATATTTCCAAACGCAGCATACGGTATACATTTGCAATTCCAATATTTCGATTTCACACTTATCGTAATATCTAGTCTGGCGACCGTGATCAATTGTCTATAAAAACGGGATAGGAAGGTGGAGATGATCATTCGTGGAGGGGAAGCACTTTCTTAGATTTTGGCCTACAGGATATTATTAATTAAGGTTAATTATTAATTAAGTTAGGCTGGCCGAAAGGGTGACGGAATAGTTCATCGTAAAAAGTCTTTCAAAAGATGTCTTCTAAATTAAGCTTGAAATTCTTTAGAGATCGGCAAACCTTTCGTGGGGACTGAAATTTTTTTTCCCACGCTCGTGGGAAGACAAACACATCTTTCTTTAATGCTCCTAGTCGCTCCATGTTAAGCTCTAAAAGTGTGGGAGGTGTGGGTCAATACTCCTAAGCTTGTAAGATGAAATCTTTCATCACAAAAGAGACTCAAAACATTTTGATACGACTTCTTGCGATTCCTTTCTTTTCGATTTTGTTGTGCGCCTTTGTCGCTGGAAATGGCTCCAAATGACCGTGTCTCAGAGAAAGTATCTTCAAATTTCCGTCTGGAGAGGTATCACGATTTTATAGCCAACAGTGATCTTGAAATGCTTTTGCGGCTACATCGATTAACTTAATCTGTTTACTTTGATTTATGAAAGGAAAATCTAAAAAACATAAAAAGTACTTTGGTATTGGATGTCATCAGAAGCATGCAAACAGTGTCATATATCTGTGTTTAGTCTCAGGCTAGAATTAGAGTGTCTTGTTAACGTAAACGACTGGTCGTAAATTGAAGTATAAATTGACTTATGTTGTGGTTTTGCTAAGGAGCCGATAAATTTTGTGTAAACAACCAGCCCTCATTCTAGAAAAGCTCAAGAAGCCAATTCGGTGTAAAGTGAAGTTCAGGAAAAAGGCTTTATTTACAATTCGTGAAGGAAGACGCCAAACTTTCGTAATGAGTACGATTTCCAAGGCCAGTACATGGCATGGGCACACCAACCGTGAGGGCTTTGCTATTTCAAATCATCACAGACGTGAGTTCTGTCAAGGCTTTGAAATGTTCAGGGCTTGAAGCTTTTTGGGTCGAGGCACTGAAATACTTTAAGCTTATGTTTCAGTCATAGTTGTAAATTTGGTGTAGTTGATAGGATTAAGGAAAAAAATCCAAACTACTTGCATGCAAATTTTTTGTCTGCTGGGCAGAATTCCAGACACGTGGAAGTCAAAGATTGTCTACATCTGACTTAAAAAAAACAACACAGCTACTTAAAATTGACCCATTCTGTTTTCAGTTGAAGGTTTTTTTTAATTCCGTGGCTATTTTAAAATAACTTTTAAACTTGCCTGTCCCTGTTTTTTTTTTTTTTTTTAATCAAAAAGGATTTTCACAAATTGGATCGATGAAACACTGGGATCTTTCGGAAGGTTACCTTTGTCCTAATTCCTCGGAAACTGTTGTCTTAGACCGGAGAAGTAAAACGTTATATTAGGGACTTTAAGCAAACCACGACGGCTACGGCAACGAGAACGTGGAAAAACAATAGATCTAATTGGCAGAACAATAGCCCAGCACGTGCGTTTTCAAACTTTGTACATTTCTTAGCCGTCCTTTGCAAAACAACAACGTGAAATCAACAAAAATTGCGTCGTCTGTGAAGCTAAACCGCGGCGGAAAGTTATTTTAATTTACATTTGGAACTCAACGCTACTTTTATGCGTTATGTTGAGTTTGAGGTCTGGCGCCCTATGAGACGGTAAACACATGCAGCCATTTTCGAAATTCTAACTAAAAGTAGAAACTCATTTTTTAATCGACGTCTTCCGTGGCGTTGCCGTCCTGACTGCTTAAAGTCCCTATTAGATAGTTGTGTTGCCCTCTTACACGAACTAAACGCTTAATTTCAAGTTTAAACCTTCAAAATCCAGAATCTTAATCCTTACCGGCTCAAAATCTATCGTTCCTCTGTGTGTTGTACACTGGCCGA